TTTCAGAAAAAATCTAAAAAATCTGAAAAAATATATATTAAACTACAACTGATAAACTTTATTTTAATATAAAAATATAAATTATTTCTTATTAAAATTATAAATTTTAATATAGAGAGAAAATTTCAATTTTTATTATATTTTATTAATAAATTTAGCCTCTGAGTTATTACTCTTGGTTGTCACTGTAATAGAAAATAAAATAAAAATTACTTGTTTTTTTATTAATTTATAATTAATAAAATATATATTTTTATCTTATAAAAGTTTTTAAATTTTAATAATTTTGTTTTTAATTCAAAATAAAGCTAAAGTTCTTTATTTTAAAATATATTTTTTCAAATTTTTAAGAAAATTACTTCAATTATATATAAAGATAATTGATCTTTAATATAAAAATTAATTAATTTTATTATTATTATTACTAGTTATTATATATAATAACTTATTAAAAAAAATAAAATAAATTAATTATAAATTTATAATAAAAATAAAAAATAAAAGTAAAAAATAAAATAATAAAAAAATTAAAATAAAATAAAATAAAATTAAATATAATATGCAAACTTTAATTTAATATTATAATTATTTCAAAAAATAAATTTTATTTATTATTTAATTTATAAAATAATAAACTTAAAATATTTTAAATATAAAAAATATAGCAATTCATATTTTTTCTTAAAATTCTAAAATAATATTATATAATAAATTTTGATAATTTTATATCAAGTATTAAATTGATACTTTAAAAATAAGAACTAATAAATTATTAGAAAATAAGCAATTATAAAAATAATTTTATAAGATAATATATTTAAAAATATTAAAATTACTATAATTAAAAGATTTAAACTATGTAACAAAACTTTTTCAATATAAAATTTTTTGTTTTTAATTTAAAATAAAGTTCTTAAAATCTAAAAAATATATATTTCAATTATATTTTATTAAAAAATTTATTAAAATAAAGCATTTTTTTGCCAATATTTTACAAATAAAATAAAATTGAAAATTTTCATTTTTTAAATAAATTCATATGTTGTTACATAAAATTCCATTATATTATCAAAAATTTATAATACTAAGTTAATATTATTCCAGAATTTCAAAGAATATTTCACAATTATTTGTTAAAATATCAAGAAACGCGAAACGCCATATTTTTCGTGTCAACTAAATTAATTCTTAATAAAAATGAAATTTCAAAGAATTTATTATATTTATAACAATTATTATTTTTTGACGTTAATAATTAATTTTTATTCTTATATATATATACACATACATGATCAGGTTAATCAAGATTTGTCAGACATAATTTTAAAATCCAAATCAAAAATTTTATGAATTTTTCGGGCATCATAAAAATAATTTACCCCTCGCAAGAAATATATTTCTTAATGTTCTTTGTGTTATAAAAATAGAACTCAACTCTATGCCTATACATGTGTGGTATAATATAGAGTACTGAAGATAAATATGTATGATGGAGATTAAAAGGGAAAGATGGGAATAAATATGCATCACTATACAATTTTAATATACACAGGTGAATGAAGGGATTATTTTTAAATAAAACTAAAAACCAACCGTCGCTTACTATATATATATTATCTCTTAACAATGTTGCATGAGGGAATTTTTGTCTAGGGATTTTTTTGTGATTGAAAAAGATGTGGGATGTGAAGATGTCATAAAATTTGGGGACGAATAAAAAAAAGAAAATTTTCATGGGTGCTATACAATTAAATAAAAAAAAACACTAATAATAATTATTTAGTTTACATCCTTTCTATTCAATATTATTGTTGTTATTATTATACATTGTTAAGTCTAGTCCGGCAGCTGAACTGGCACTAAGATTTTTATGATGACCATTGCCACCGCCACCACCGCCGTTGTTGTTATTATTATTTGACTTCGATATTATAGATCCTGCCTTTCTTGGCCAGGGCTCATCCATAAATGAATGACGAGCTAATAATTAAGAAAAAATTGTCTTTTTAGTTGATTGTTCATGAAATTAAAGGAGAAAAATTAAAATAAAAACAATACTCACAATCATGGGAATCATTAGAGCTTTCCTCCAATGACAACCTCCCATTCGGATAATTGTTATTACTATTGTCGTTGCCTAGTAATGGGGGTAACGTTGAAGATCTTATTATTTGCGAATTATTGTGGTTAGAAATGTGTGACGGTGATCTTGAGGTATTGCTGTTGCTATTCATTCGCCAATCATAGGGTTCCAGTACCATCATATTGCTATCATTTGAATCGTTATCAAGGGAATGAATAATGGGAATTTCTGGCAACAATGGAGGTATCGAAGAATATGTGGTGGCATTATTATTAACATTGATATTATTATTGTTGTTGTTGTTATTAATATTTGTTGCATTCACGCGTCCTTTAAAAAACCGTTTTTTAGAGTTAGAGGCAGCATTTTGTATTTCGTGATGAGGTTGAGATGGTTGTGATATAGCTCCTAAGGTTGCCATTGAAGAAGGATGGTTATTCGAGCTTGTTGACCCCGTTGCTACTGTTGTTGTTGTTGCTGTTGAAGATGAAGGTTGCGGAGGGACGATAATAGTCATTGAGGAGGCCAAGGAAACTTTTGATCCATTGTTACTATTGTAAGGTGAGTATAATGATGATGGTAAAGTGTCAGGCAGATTATTTGCGGCTTTTGGCGTTCCACCGGAGTTAACTTGATTATTATTATTATTACTATTACTATTATTGTTATTACTGCTGCCACTATTGTTATTATTGTAAGCGTTATTGTTCACTTGTTTACGGAAGAAACCTCCACGACGAGTCGTGATCATTTTAGGATCAACCATTCCGCCGTGTGTAGTGTCGCTAAGGCTTCCACTCTGAATTGATTCATTAACAATAGCTTTTGATATCGGTGTAGCAGATGAAGGCGTAGGGGGAACATTTCTTGGGGAGGAACTTGCACTGGATTTGCTATTATTGATCACGCCGCCTGTGGGCGGATTTAATGTATTGTTATTATTGATACTTGTCCCCCCCACATTGTTGCTCACATTTCCTCCTCTTTTACGTAGCAAAGCGCCAGCCCATTGTTTTGCCCACCCAATGCGTTGACGTACGGCTCTATATAATTAATGATAATTTTTAATGAGTATAGACACACAACTTGCATAATACAAAAATAAAAATCAAACTAATATAGTACCTTTTTGCCATCGTCACATTAACTTTACCAGAATTTTTCATCAAAAATAACATCCCACAATTCGCAGCGAACAATAAAACGAAAAACAGATCCCACGAGCATAATCGGATGACAAACATCGATATCGTCAAGCCAAGCAACACTTTTCGCCGTTGTTTGACAAAAGAGATCTCTCGTAATACTAAATAAGGGGATGGATGCAAACATTTTTCTCAGTATCTTCTCAGTAACAAAACATCCCGGAGCAAATTAATACGTGTGAAATACCATACCCGTAAACGAAGCTTTTTTGGTAGCAGTTGGATCAACATCCGGGTACGTCAACAAATCAATAAACTGCAATGGAATATCAGTTATCGTCAAATTTTTGTTATTTGAAGGTTTATTTGTCGATGGATGATTATTTTTTATGTTGGAATCGATATTACTCGGATTATTAGACGGACCTTCAACCCATCCCAATAACATCCCGACGATCATATTGCCCAATGATATTATTGAACCTGATGTCTCCGTCGGATTAACTTCTTCAGAGGAGCTCTCATTATGAGAATATTCAGAATCACTATAATCCAAGTCATGTGCGGTTTCTTGTTTATTATTGTTGTTACTATTATTTTCTTCGATATCAGCGCCCCCCTCCGATTTCCTCGATGAAGATGAAGAAGCCACACCGTTATTATTCCTCCCACCGACATCAATATTGTGTTCATCCATTTCCCCTGATGAATTCCATTCCTCCTGAGTGATCGATGAATCACTCGTATATCCATCTTCGTCAAAAGGGGTTGCCTAAATTACCAATTAAGATTATGAATTTAAACCGGGACCTTTCTTTTCGTTTCAAATTGATAAAACCTACATGTTCTTCCCTAGCACACCAAACTTTGAGTTGCTTCAATATCTTCTTTGCGGTCTTTTTTCCTTCGACTTCTGACAAAATTTCGTTATGCAGAATTTTGAAAGCTTCCATTATTTGACTATAATCATCACTTGCTGCGACTAATGATTTGCGAAATGAATCATAAATACGTGAGTATAATTTTTTCTAACCAACTTGAATTCACTTTGGATAAAGTTACACAAGAATTCGGTACTCACCTCGATAATGCGGAAAACTCCTCGTGATGATCCGATATTCTGGCACGTAACTTCGTTTTCGGTTACTGATTTGGTGCTGCTGTCCCCTTTGTTGCAACAGGAAAAAGTTCGAATCTCGTAACGTCTTCCAGCTAGATCGACCTAACCCACCAATTAGGCTCGGCTGTACGAACATTTTGCGTGTGTGATGTCAAGATGTAGGATTGTTTCTTTCGTGTTCCACCACTCACGCCAGTTACGTTTGCGTGTTTATGTGTTTACGAGAGAGTGTGAGTGGCGAAATGTACGAGGTGGTGTTCTGGAAGAGAAGGGGAGGTGACGAGGCGGTATTTATCTTTGATTTCCGAATCAAAAAGATCCAAGAATGATCAAGAAAATTCTCCAAGAATTATGCTCGATGATGAAGAATGACAATGATACTGATAAAATAACAAGGTATGAAGACACGAACGAACGAAAGGAATTTCAAGTCAAATCTCGGTTTAATGGAACCAGATTCGATACTAAAAAAAAACCTAAGAAAAAATTGACAAAGTGAGGATAAAAGAAAGTAAAAATTCTAAAATAAATAAGATAAATAAAAATGGTGGTGATATTTATAAAACGTTTAAATGCTAATAATAGAGATATATACTAACGACATCATCATATCATCACAAGCAAATAAAATATCATATTCATCGTAACAATAAATATAATAAACGTGGAACCTTATTTGTTAGCCATTGTGTATACATGTATAAAACGTGGATCATACTTGATTTTGTACATACAGTAACATACATATATTTTCTATCCCCACTAATTATTGACTTATTTATTACAATACATCCTATGCGCGTATAGATTGTACACATTTTTAGTAAATTCGACAAGAAAGGGATTAACTAAATATGCGGTGAATGATTTCTGAGACCTTGCCACGCGATGATTATTCAAATTAGATATCACCGATAAACATAAATATATATATATATATATATTTTTATCCCTTTTTTTTTTTGGGATATCTTGTTCAAATCAGAGAGAGAGAGAGATTCTAGCTTGATTATACACAGTCTAGACCGTTTGTCAAATCCGAGAGATTCTTTCGAGTTGGATACTGTCAATTTCGGCTAAATAGGATTTTAATACACCGGTCATCCCGTGTTGTACCAGAATTACTATTATCTCTATACCATCGCTTATCCACAACAGATCCGTGCACATATGTGATTATAATTCCTAAATATGGCAAATAAATCATAACTACAGATAATCTTTTCTCATTCTGTTACTCTCCACCACTATAATGTCATTCAATCATTATCGTAATTGACAATCTTAACTTCTTTGACATAATGCATTACGGTTACGTGAGGCAGATTTTCATGGAGCCACAAAATCCTTAGCAAAAAAGAGCAAATAATAAAAAAGCTCGGTTCCACATTTGATCAACGAGTTTCAGAGATTCAAGGAGACCGAACCCAAACTTTCGGATGAAGTTTGAAAGTTACAGATATCTACCGCTCGCCTTCATTATTATTAGGAAAGTTCAACCTGTCCTGTCTCTTCCTTGGCGAATTTCTTTTGAGCACAAGTAAATCCATCCCTTCGTTCATTCTTACACTCTGAACAAAAGATAATTTGTGGAAAATACAACAATATTCCCCCAAATGTACAAACAATCTAATGTCAATTTTTTCAAACCATTAATTTTCACATGACACACACTATCGTTCGATCTTGTCACTAGAAAGATAATCTTCATTACCGAGTCCGTTTTTTAAATTTGCCAAGAAAATATTGTCCCTCTAATGATCCAAATATTGATATCAATACTGTCTGTCAATATTTCGTAATGTGTATGCGAGTAACCGGAACATTTCGTATACATTGTCATTGTTATAATCATTATTGTGGTGATTCACCAGGATGATGATAATAAAGGATAACTTGTCTTTTGGAAAGTTCGACATATGGAATGTAACCTTAAAATTATCTAGCATGCTAAATCATGATCAGTCATCATTATCCAATACTTATTAAAGATAACTTCAATATTTTACCTTCAGTTATTATATCTTTCAAAGAAAATTTAAACGTCTGAGAAACTATCATCATCATCATCTCGAAATACAGGCCGAGCCGCGGCCGTACCCACTGCAATGAATACATGTTGTCGACATAACTATGAAAATTGGTGTCTTGAATTGACTGTGTCTTGGCTCTTTGTCAATGTCAGGATCTTTGTCCCATGCTGATTCTTACAATACATTCGCGACGACTGACGCTCGGGGCGTTTTGCCCTAAATGTTTGAAGTTCTTCCTTTCATTCCTATTCTAAAAACGCACTGTCTACAAATAATACACCCAACTCTTGACCAATAGCAAGCGAATTACATTATTACTTTGACGGCCAACTAAAGTTTTCTTGGTGCTGTTATTTGTTGGCTTGGCCAGCTGAGCGCCACTAATAATGGTGGTAAAGGCGCAGAAATCTACTTTTCACCAAAGAGCATGCAAAATTTCTCTTTCATAATTTTTTCCATTGGCATCATCAGTAACGGTGGGTCAAAATGGGTTTGTAGACAGTTAACAAGCTCTATAAATAAATCGCGCGTTGTTATTTATGCACCACTAGCTGGTGATCTACCTGTGGAGATTGAAATTTATCGTGATTTAAATATTATTTTATTAAAATACATCATTAGCAAAAATACTCGCGTTCTCTATTTTCCATGCTATATTATTTTAATACAAAACAATAAAAGTAACGAATACTATCTAATCTACCCCTCTATTAATTGTTTCTGTATTATTTCTGCAGATGAATATCATTATTATTTACTCACCCAGATAATAAAAATAAAAAAAATGATAATCAATAATAAAAATCGAATGAGGAAAAGTCAGGTGTTGCTAATCATTCTGAAAGAACCGAATTCCTTCGTAATATATATATCACACGTGGTTATTCTAAAGCCGACCTAATCATGTCAGAAATCACCGGTTAAATAAAAGGAGGCCTTCACCATTTAGCCTTATGTGAACTTCCAAGACGTTCAGATACCAGCCGCCACACAATTTCCGGATTATACAATTGAATCTTTTTCGTTCCTTTGCCGACCTTTCGCGCCTTACTCCCCTCCAACACGGCTTCCCTATCCTCCGGGCTCAGTTGATACTGTTGCAAGAGTTTCTGCATGTCGTGGTCCAAGAAAGCAAATTTATCCAGAAATATTTTGTCGCTGTTGCTGTCTGATAATGTATATTCCCAGACGTGTGCCGGGAGGAAATACGAGCGCTTGGATATGTCCGAGCCTACTATGAATGCTTTGTCTAGATAAGGGTTATCCTATTATTTATTTAAGGTTTAACATTCGGAATTAGTATTTTTATGTTTTTTTTAGATCCCGAAACGTGCAAACGTAAGAGAATAGCAAAAACCTTCAAGAGCTCCGTAAACATGTTTTTAAAAAAGGCGAGAGCCTTCTTATGAAAAGGTTTTCCGGCTTTAAGATCATAATCATACGCCATCTCAGCAGGTAACTCAAAATTATCAACTAGCACGAAACAATGCTGATTATGATATTTATAAAGATACGAGGATAAATCGCGGAACGCCTTCTCCCAGTCAGCCTCTATCAATCCACGATCACATGCGCATATAGCCTCAAAGTGTTCTCGGTCTTCTAGAGGCTCTAGTCTGTTTGGGAGGTATTTGTGTTTGAGGTAGACGAGACAAATCATTCGTTTGATGTTTTCGTACATTTCTGCCCAGGTGGTTCCTTTGATGCGCTATTGATGTGATTAGAATTTAAATGAGTACCGGTAAAAAATAACTTTAAAAGATCCCAATAAAGAATAATTATCAAAATATATTACAAACCGACATATCAAAATGGATCACCGGAACTTTTTTGAAATACTGACGCACGATATTTTTTGGTTTCCATATTTCGAGGTCACGAAATATTTCTTCACGTGGTATTGGTTCGGCTGTCGGTTTGATATTGAAGAAGCAATCGAGCATGGAAAGATTAGTAGTCTAAATTTTCAAAAATTGAAAATAATTAATTTATTAAGTTAAAAATGGGATGGCAAGCGTTAATTTTCAAAATAATAACCTTGCCAGAACCGTGCGGACGAATTATCTACCAAGATGCCAAAAATGAAGAATTTATCGTATAAGAATAAATTATTAATTCTCCAAAGAAAGATAAATTTTCACATTGTTTCACGTACTAGAGCAACACGACCATTGAATTCGATACAATCTTTAATAAAGAGAGATCGGTCAACAAATTCATATCCCTTTAGAATAATCTCATCGAAATTAGAAGGCCGATGTCCGTCTAAATAAAAAAGGGGGGTGTAATTAATGATTCCCCAAAAATATCTTGTCACAGGAAATTAATCAAAGCAAAGAAAGACCAATAAATACCCTTATTGACAACCCTCGGCACCTCCAGTTTCTGCCATCCCGCCGCGTCATCATAGTAAATCCGCCTCAACACCCCGTTTTCCGGTGAAATCTTGTGCGAATTTTTATATCTCAAGTAATCATTCGACAGAAAATTGTGGTCTTCGTCCACATAGTAAACCGGTGGCGAAGAAGAATCACCGGTAGCCGAAATAGGGTTGGTGGTGGTATTGGTGAGACGACGACGACGTGTCGATCGAGACGAGGAGCGGCTGGCGGAGGAAGACTGCCGTTTTGAGGAAACTGAAAGCAAGAAAAAGAGAAGCAACGAGCAGAAGAGAAACTTGACGCGTAGGTAGTACGATGACTACAACTTTTCAAATCTTACTTTCATACCTACGTCTTTGTTTAATTAGACATCCGGCTAGTGCTACCACTATCGTTGCGCTTGCTCCAATTATTGTGGTTGTGCTCGCTGGAAAAGACGCCTCCATGTTGTTGTGCCGACTAGAATAAACGCAGCGCGTGTCGAATGCAAAAAGTCGAGGTTTTTACTTGCGTTGAGAAATAAATAAGGGATTTTATAAAACAAACGATAATTGTTCTGACAACCCCGAGTCAAAAATTTCTAGATTAGGTATAAAGACACGGATTTTTGATTAGATGTATGTCATGTCATCTTTTACTTGGCGAATTATGAACGTTGAAAAAAAATTCGTAATTCCAAAATGAATCGATATTCTAATATCAGAACAAAGAACAAAAGACAAATAATATTTATAAGATAACCGTAAAGGATGAAATGTCCGTTGAGTAAATGGATACTCAACAGGAAGAAATCAAAATACTGAGATTATATTATATACAGATAATATATATAAAAAATACGTAATAATAGAACAGGAAATACCCATATGAATCTTGTGAAAATAACAACCACAACAGAGGAAATAACTGCGTATCAAACAACTGATATGACCAGCATCCAAATACATTCGTCTCTGCATTTGTATTCACCATATACTTAACTAAATGCCTGTTTCATACCCAGCATGAGCATTACGTATCACATGTACATATCAAACTACAACAATAAATATATTATACTCTCTTCTCGTCACTGTTACTTCAAT